TGCTCTAGCGCTGCGCGGTTCCCTTCGGGCGCTGAAAAACCAGCACTAACGCAGAACAGCAAACGCTGGCCTCTTATCCCTCCGACAAGTCTCTTCTCCATCCAGGCATAAACGATTTTCAATGCTCGTTGGCAATAGGTGCAAAAGTAACTTTCACTCGTGCCAGGCAAAGGGGAGGCTCAGGGAGAAGTGCAAGGAGCAACCTGTCTACCCGCGCGGGCAGCTTTGCTCAGGGCAGGCTCAGCCCGTCCCACAGTCGCTCTGCCTGTGCGCCCGGCCACATGGGCCCAAGCTGGATCCGGTACAAGAGCCCTACGGCCACGTTTGCACGAGGTGGTGCTCGAGGTAAGAAATGCTGGTTTTCAGCAGTACAAGCGTCGGGATAACACAGCTCCGTTGCCAAGACGATCAGCCCAAAGCACAGGCAGAGCCAGCGAAGGTCTGGTGGCACCTACTCAAGCAGACGTTTGCCAGCTAGTTCCTGCCGTCCAGGCACGATTCGCTGCAAGAACGGCATACACAGGTGAATTGTTCAGCCACAGGAACTTAAAAAACAAGCAAGCAAAAAGCAGCCCTACTAGGCTGCCATTAACGGAGACGGCTTCCCTCACTCGTGCCGCAGAGTTTCTGGCAGGAAACCACCTTCAGTGTCATCTCAGTGCTTTTGGGGGAACATCTGGTCACATCTGAGCTCACTCAGAAGCATTTAATGGGCCAACAAGTCATCTAATAGTAAATTACGTATATCCCAGGAGACATGATATTTAAAAGGAAAAATAAAGGACAAAAATGACTACAATATTTGCAAGCAACTTAATGGCTTGCGATCTGTTAACAGACTGGAATCTTACCGTCCTATCACTTGCACATGAAATGATATTGACCATAAAATGCAAGAACTAGGCAATAATTAAATCCTTGGTAGTCCAAAACAGAGAAATGAAAGAGGTTAAAGCCAGAAGCAACAGCAGAACTTGAGCAAACAGCAACATTTTTTTCTGATGCTGGGCCATAGACTGTTACTTAGAGGCACAGCAGATGAGAGTTGATCTCTGTCCTTCTGAGTCTGTCATCAGATTGTACAAGACGTTGTGGGATATACTGAATGCAAAGGGAAATAGATGTCTGATTTTAGATTTCCAGACTCCTTTTTTCCAAAATAGTACTGTCTCTGCGAAAGCAAAAAAAAAAAAAAAAAAGGAGATGCACGTAAATAAAAAGCTGTTGATTTTCCAGTTATATCTGAAAATAAAGTATATCAAGGGAGAAAATGAGCTGGCTAGTGATGGCAGTATAAATGTAAATGCAGACTGGCAGAGAACACAAAGGAAGCTTGGTTGTTTCTGGCTGCAACAAAATAAGCTTTTGTTTCAGTTCTATAGTTGTTAGTTTTAATAAATGCAAATGAAGTAATAAGGGGCAGATAGAAGATTTAGTAAAAAATATTCAAAGTAGTAAGCAGGTGTGATGCATACAGAGTGGTTGTGTAATACCCCAGAAAAACAGAACTACAGCATAGAGAAAACAGGCTACCACCACATCCTTCTTTATTCTCCGGTTGCTTAGAAGCCACCTGTATATAAACTGTCAATGTAAAGATATCTCCTTGTCCCAAGAGGTTTTTCATGTGTTAATCCTGTATCCAGTTCTAAGTGCCCACCCTTTCTCTATGAAAGACATGAGAAAAATAAGTATATTCTGCATATAAAGGGAAGTCAGGAATATCACTCAGATAAAATGAACTAAGTTTTTTAAATTTCAAACCTTTATGTTGCAGGCCGTTAGCCAAGTCAGCTAGACAAAGTCATACTAGTGACTGAAACCATGCTCTTCCCACTTACCAGCAACAGCGCGCTGCATGTGCCATGGCACTGAGGAATTTGTGCCAAACTATGTCAACATCAGTCATTAATGTCAGTAACATAAAAAGGCAGTTACTTATTAAACACAATGATAACAAAGTTAATATTCAATTTACACAGTATTTTCTCCACATCTACACTAATTTTTTTCCATATTTTGAAACACACATTTAAAATAGTCAAGAGATTATGCCTATGATTACAAATACATCTCAACTCAGCCCAGACAGCCAGCACTTAAAATGTTTTAGCAGCTGAGGACCACGCAACTGAGGCAGCATACTAGAGTAACTCTGCCTTCTCTGCTCAGAAAGGTGCATCTCAAATCTGTTTTACTGCTTTCCCGAAACATGCGGCACATTAGGAATCCGGAAAATTAAGCATGTTATTCTTCGTTCCATTTGCAATTTTCCCTCCACCGTCTCTGAATATCACTTTCGAAAGAACGGCTCTTTCAATTGAAAGGTAAAATAAATTTGTCATTTTCCCCTGCAGGCATCAAGACATTACCCTCGTTGCACTGCTCACGCTCCACGTTCAGCTGATGTGCCCTACGTACTGTCACAGCAGGGCACATACGTCCACGAACCACTCGCCACATCAGTGCTTTGCTCATGTCAAGCAGAAGAGGATTTGATGTTTTTCTTCAAAAGTAAATTTGGTTGCGAGTTGCAACACGCACATTTTATCACGCACCAGAGCGGCTTTCACAAACGCGGGAGGCAAGCGGTGGCCAGCAGCGCCGCTCCGTTGCCAACTCCGTCTTTACACCAGTTTGGGGGAAGGTGACAGAATTTTTGCCACTCCAAACTCAAGCACCTCTTGTCATTTTTTGGTGTCCACTTTTCTCCGCCACAGTAAATGCAGTGCCTTGAATAAACTTGGGTCAGCTTCTGAATGACTTATGGTAAGGATGAGGAAGAGCCTCCAAAATAACGGCTGTTGGAACAGAGTACCTTAGCGTGGAGGCTTATTTAAACAATGCTGGAAAATTCACCTTGAGGTGTTTCAGCTGCCGAAGTCCCAGGAGCTGTTAGCAACTATTCTTTCTTTCGTAACTTAATGCGCCTGTACAAACGTTCTGCTAATTTGGCCTTTAGGCATTTGTGATTTTTTTTAAATTAAATCTCTTATTAGAACTAATGGTTCCTGTTAGTCATACAGTGCGCTGTATTCCTCAGAGACTTGGCCACAGATGTGAAATTAATTTCTTCTAATGGCTTACTGTGTGCTGATTAGCCCACAGGTATCTCTGAAAGAAAATTAAGCACAGTATGCAAAAAAGGAATAATCATTCCTTAATGCATGGAAGAAATAATCCTCCCTTCTCCTGCAGCTGGAGGGCATTGGTTATTCAGAGTTTTGTATAATATGAGACCAATTGCTAATCTAAAAACCATCAGGGATATTGGTATAGGACATGACAGGGAGTAATTTCTCAAGATAATTCTTGTTCTTATTTCCATTCCTTTTTGTAGCTTACATATACCTTCCACGCTCATTCCAGATAGTTTCAAGCATAGCCCAAAGAGTTGATTTAAGCCATCTCGGCCCCTTAGTTCTTTCTAAATTCCAGTCTCGTCAGGAATGTTGGCTCTGTTTTCAGCTAACAGTTTTAGTTGGAGAACTACCAGAAAGCAAACTTATTTAAAACAAAAAGATTAAGTAAACAACTAGATTTAAAAAACCTCACAACAACTAAACACTCATTTTATTTCAGCTGTGAGTTCACTGTTCCAGAACTTGAACTTTAATTCGCATGTCACACCTCAGAGCAATACCTATCTCACAAAGTACTGAAGGATCCTACTTTGAAGTGTATTTTAGGAAATCACCACACAGTTTGTTTCATTTTTAAAAGATCCTGACATTAAGAGCTTAATGAAAGGGTTAGGTGAGATGATAGCTAACATCACAGAGCATGCACCTGATTATTTCAGGGATGAAATAAAGCTATCAGCTGGGGGGTAGGGGGGGCACCCCACGATTCAGCAAGGTCACAACAGAGGAAAGCGAGGGAAGTGTCCACAATACAAGCCAGGCAGCACCTGGCCATTCCTGCGCGACTCAGGAGACTTGCTCAGTTCCTCCTTCATTTTCTTCTATATATATGGTAGCAGATCACTCTATCCAAGGCGTTATTAATGACATTCATCCCAGTTTGGGGATAGAAAGGACAACCAGGATTTACAGTATCTTTTGAGGTACCAAAAGAGCTGAGCAAAATTCTCCAGCAACTCCACAGCTTGCCAAAGTCACTACAAACCTTACAGATATTGGTCAAGTTGTTTACTTAAGCTGTTCACGTGCATATTCGACTCTCCTCTTTGATTAAACTATATTGTCTTTTAAGACAGCCGACAAGATTTCCTTTTTCCCTTTTAAACTACAAATACAGTGCACTTTAATATTTATGGTAAGTCAATGAAGAAATGTTAAGTGATTTGTTGATTCTTTTGGTGATTAAAGCCTTTTGCTCTCATTTCTCAAGGATGCCTTTTTGCTGGGAGATTTCAAATGTAGTTTCACATGCTTGGCTCCCAAACTCCAAGTGTAATCCTTTGGAAATTAAGAATACATTTTCATATGCAGAAGCATTAATAAAACAGATGTCACTTGACCATCCAAGCAATCCCTGAGGAACATCATCTTACAACCAGAAAAATCCCAAATACCTTAAATGTAAAGGGTCCTAGCAAAGCTCCTAACTGAGGACTAAGGCACTATGCGCAACCAATGTCCATATATACTATGTCTATTTAGAACAGAGCTTGCCAAAGTATAGTCACTAAGTCATGTGCAGCCTCTTGGACTTAAGACAACCTACAGTGATGTTCAGTCCTGCACTGCCAATTGTTAGCGCTGTAAACACCCCAGGAAACATTTAAGGCAAAATTACCCATTGCCTGCCATAACAGTAACTCTAAGTTGAACGCTGGAATAACAGTGCAGCATAGCTCCACCAATTTCTATAGCACTTTATCTGTTTAATAAACATTTAATTACAAGGAGAAACATCACAACTCTGCCCACATTTTAAAAATTTGGACCATTGTTTTCGATGTGCAATGATTCACTTAAAGCCAACTATTAACTGCTTTGAGACCTGTTTGAAAGTGGAACTAAGAGCTGATGAGAGCAATGTCTCAGAAGAGCAATGTACTTGCCTACAACAAACGCAGTTTGAGGACTGAGACAAAATTTTGGGATACTTATCATTAAGTGCATGACTACCTTGTTAAGCTACTTGGCTGATAGGTCTCTCCCAAGCTACCTGTAAGGCAGCCTACACCCTCAGTCCCAGCCTGGCTACAGTCTGACCTCTTCAATGTACCCTCTAGCCAGCGAGGAGGGAATTTCCACAGCTCCGTGATGCTAGACAGATATTGCCCTGCCCTTTGTTCATCTTTTCCAGCCTTCAGTTTGGGAGGCGGTCAGGCTGCTACTGGATAAATGCGGCATGAGCAACATTGCCCAGGAAACCTTCATTCTGGGCTTTTCTAACTTCAGAGAGCTTAACTCTACAAACTTTAAGGATAGTTTTTAATCACTATGTTAAGTAGAAAGGGTATGAGGCAGCCCTTGCTCAGCTGAAGTTTCCAGACTTTAATATGTAGATTTGCTCAAATGATGCAGGGTTGGTCTCTCCACTGTCATGCATCCGTTGTCATGCATCTCAGACATTCCTTAGTTTTCCACTTTTCACAGAACAAGACTATACTATGACATTGAATGAGACAAGAAACTATCATATTAAAATGATTTTAAGGAAAAAATTCTACTGAGGAATTTACATTTCCACTAGCCTATTTGCCATGGAGAAACTCCAACTGCTAGTCTGACTCTGCTAGTTCCAACCGGCCTCCGGATCAGGCAGCTCTGAGAAAAGGCTTTGTTTAAAGTCTCCCCTATCATGCACTATGAATGGAAAGGTTTATTTTCAAAAACTTGAACCTTTTAGGTGGTGCAAAATTTTTTCTACTCCTCTGTCCCTCAGCCTTCTCCCTGCTGCGCTCCTGACCATCCACCTGTACGAGTTGCAAAAGGGATTGATTTTATAATCCACAAGCGCTTTCTAGATCAATGTCTGACTAATACCATCTAGGCACTTTGAAAGAGTTTCATTAACTTGGATTAAATAGTCATCAAAAGGACTGTGTGTTGACTGTGTTACACGCAGATAATATGATAAAGACTGTGCCCACAGCCAGACTTAACAAACATACTTGATTGTTTAATGTCCCTCACACACCCGGTTTAACAAATATGGCCTTTGGTGGGGGGGACGACAAAACAGACTGCAGTTTGAACAAAACATGGAGCCGGTGTTTTGCATCACCTAGTTAACTTCAAACAAGATTAATCACCTCTTTCTCTGAAACGGTGTAATCCAGTTAGTATCTGTTAAGAAAACGTGGTTGTTAAAAATACACTGCTTCTCACTGTTTGTTTTCGATACTGACTGAAGACGCAAGGAACACGAGAAGGTTCTGCCTTCGAAAGGCGGACTCTCCCAAGAAGCCTCCTTCCAGCTCCTCTTCTCAGGAGGGATCGGGCAGACGTGGCAGGACCAGGACAGCCACCCAGAGCTCCTAGGGAACTGGCTGCTCTCACTCCCACCCACAGCTCTTCAGTATCTCACCTTTAAGAAGTAAAGCTTCAGAACGTCAGTGGGCAGAAGTGGGATCAGAATCAACTGCCCACCGCATAAATTCATTCCTCTTACAGTTTACTATGACAGACAAATGTGCACATAACAGCAACAGTACAGTAGACAGTCCCTGCTTATCCTCTTTTTGATAAGTTTCAGGTCTATTTTTAGAAGTTTCATAAACTAAGACAGGCGCTTACATAAAACAAAAAGTGCTGGGAACGAGGAGCGCTCAGAGCTGCACCTAGTTTACACATTACTCGGAAAGAGGATTTTGCCATTATGTGAAGTAGGACCCATTTGCACTAGGATATGTTTTACTCTCTATTTAGGAAAGAGTAAACATTTAATTGCTCCAGTCTTAGTGTTAATTCACAGTATCGCTATATTTAGATCCAGAAACAGCTTCTTGCAGTAAATTTGGACTTGTATGTTTTCAGCTTTACAGCTGGAAACTAATAGTGGGTGAAGCACAGCAGCGATTCAGGAGCAGTCTGGGGTGAGCAGTGCCACAGGGACAAAGGCAGAGATGGCAACAACTTCACTTCAGTGGGCTTCAAGCAGTTTATAAAAAACACTGTATACCACTGAAGTTATAAAATGGACTAGACAGGCACAATGCAATCAACAATTAAATAAGGTTAAGGCTTGGGGTTAACATCTTCACTTAACCAAAAAAAAATCAGAGTGGCAGTTGTATTATTCATCTAGGAAATAGCGCCCTATTACACCATCCATGATTATTAGTATTTAACATTGCATAATAATAGAGGCAAATTACTTCCATCAGTAGCTGGACACCTCTGTGCTATTTTGTACAAATTCCTATCAGTCCCTGCGGCTCAGAGACGACACAGCCTAAAGCAGAGCTAAGAGCAGAGGCTCAGTCGGCGCCAGCTGTGGGAAGCAGCACATCGGTGCTCTTGGCTGGTCTCCTATTCTGATGCTTCAATGAGCCATTTCAGACACAGCACCAGGACTGCAGAGCTGTAAGTTAAAAAAGAATAGCGTGAAAATACATGAAAACGCCCCTGTGTAATCTGCAAAATGTATTACAGACCAAAGAGATACATCTCAACATCTTATTCCTTTTTGAATATTATTTGCCTGCTAGCCATAGATAACAGGGGTTCAATAAACAGAAGACATTTCTCAAACAACTAATGCATGGTTTGAACTACTCCATAAAAGCACATTCCTCCCTCTTCGCTTTAGGAAAGCTTGCTAAAGTCTTCAGATGATTTTTCATAAGTCTTCCCCATCATCCAAGTCTCCTCTATAAGAAGGATAAACAAGGATGAGCATTTTAGAAAAATGTAGATACAGATTTAAATAGTGTGCAGTGAGTACTACTCACTAGGGACTCGGATAAGATCAACACAGCTATTGCAACACATAACGTAACCAAGACGGAAAAAGCCTCATTTCCCCTCCTGGATGTTCACTGCATACGTTACAGCCCTCTGTACATCTCGCTACTGCTGAGGTTAATAGAAATCCTATAAGCACAGAAAGAACAGAACATTCTCAAGAAAGCCTCTACAAAGAGGAGTGCGATCCCCAGGGTGAAAGCTTGTGTCATTGCAAGTCTGAGCCCAGATTTCATCGCAGGCAATGGCTAAATTCTCACTGACTTCAATCGCAGAGCTTGGGCTGTAAGACCCCACCACCACCACACTGCCTTGGTCTTATCCTTTTCAGTGAGGTTTCATTTACAGATTTTTCCTCAGCTACTGAGAGCTTAATCTTTTGGAAAGGACTGACGTCAGCATACATGGGGACAATTTTGGCCCGACTGGTTGGTATGCTGATGTTAGCTGCGCAGACGGATCACATACCAGATGCCCATTCCCGGAGAGCGGCATCCCAATAGGGAGCCTGACGCGGCATCTGAAGTTGCCTATTTTTAGGCCACGTCATGCATTGTGCTGTACCAGCACACCGAACCCTGTGCTCCGACCCCAACCGAGGGCTTTTCTCATTCTCCCAAAACGTTCGGGATAACGCTAGCAGAGGGGCACAGAAGAGGATCGAGAGGCCAATACTTCCTCGCTTGGTTCAACTAGTACAGAGCAGCAATTGGGGGAAACCTGAACCACGTTCAGAAAGGCAGGCTGAGGTCCTGAGCCAGTTTGCCATCCCTGCCTTGAAAAAACTAGAAACTGGTAGAACACGGTAATATTTAGGTTTGATGCATCTAAAACTGCCCGCTCAGCAAGCCCCCTCACCAGCAAGGCCTCAGCACACCCTGCAGCCTGTTTTGCAGCACATCAGTGACATCATTTGATATCAGATTTTTGTTATTACACAAATGGAAAATATCTTTCATCATGCAAATAAGTAATCTACCTTCTAGCAAAGGTTAGCATCAGAGAAAGAAATCACGCTGCACAGCGCGATGAAGCAGGAAAATATTTTGAAAAGTTCTTCTGCAGACAAAACAATAAAACTCAGCCTTTATGAGTACAATCAAGCTGTAAGTTAAAAATACACGCATCATACAGGCAATAAGATTTGATTTTAATTTCAATAGTTCTTAAGCTAGAATGCGCCAGTAAGTACATTTTATAAGGCCATCTAATCTCAGTTCTATATTCAGCTTGTGTTGTTTTTTTTTAAAACCTGGAATACTATTTATTTTTTTCTACTGTTCAAAGAGATTACAAATTTTATAAGGTCCCTCCTTAACAGGCACTTTTTTTATGGGTATCTGAAAGAGGCAATTAAAAAGTTTACAATAAAAAGGATCAGACAAACACGTTTCCCACTGCAATTTTCCATACACCAACTACTGCCAACTTTACAACTTGGCAGATGCATGGGAATATTTCAGCTTTACCTTACAAGTCTCCTCCCGAAGTATCAAGAAAGCATTTTGTCAAGCTTCAAACTTCAGCAGGTTCTCGTGTTTGATACGGATAAGCCCCCAAATTCTGACTGCTTAACCAAACCTTACTGTAGCTTGGACTTTGGAGTTCTCATTTCCACTGCTCTTGGGCATATTTTTCCTCAGGTCTCAGAGCCACTGGCTGTTTCCATCCCCTCTCAGTTACTGTCCTGTTTTCCCACTACTCTGCACCTTTCCCCACAAGCATCTATGGAGGATCATATACACCTGCCAATCCTATAATTACACCACTCCAAAACACTTTTATCTCTTTGAGCTTCCCTGCAGACTCCCCGCCCCTCCCAAGCAGGTCCAAGTTATTTCAAGACCCTGCTTCAGAGTTTGATGAGCTTCTGTAGCAGACCTACAGACAGAAATCCCCCAAGTTCACCGAGAACCTACACAAGTTACAGTTCATACTATGCTACTAATTCCAGGGCAGATATTCAAAGATAAGGGACTCTGGGTGAATCAAGGTGAAAGAAACTCGAAACCAGCATCAAAAGTGTGTGGGGGGGAAATCACTCCCAATCAGGCAGAAGAGTATGATATGCTGAGCGTCATGGCCTTGCAGCAGCTGGGTGAGAAAAATCTGCTCTGCTCTGGGTAAGGCCCTGGGCTGTGTTTCCAGTGAGCTCCAGTTTATGCCAGAGCAGCCTACCCACCCCAGTGGGGAGGCCGCGTGCCATGAAGTTCACATGTGCGGACAGCATTCCCAGCCTCCAGCAAGTTACAGGCTGTTCAGCAGCTCCTGGCAAGCTCCTGCCCATATCATTTGCAGCTGCACAGCTCGGCCGACCATGGAGCTTGCTGTGAGCAAGGATGGAGATGCTTGGAAGCAAGTCAGCACAGCTCTATCCATCACACGGGCACCACCACTGCTGCCCTGCTCTTGGGCAAACTCCCACCAATGGAGCTTCTGACACTGATGTTTTCACACCACCTTACCTCCCCTGGTGTCTCCACAGGCCCTCTCCCCCATGGTAACATCTTCATAACAATCTCCCATCAAAAATGTGTAATTATATATACAGCTAAGAGCTACCTGCTGCAAAAAGCATTCAAAGCAATTCTGTAAAGTTCAGAGGATGGGATTTTATTTTCCTACCAGACCCCCCTCAACATATCCTGCAAAGGACATCCAACAGGCAGCACTGAAAAGCAACCTTATTCAGACATTTTTACAAATTACATGACATTCATTTGCTCCATATATCTCATCTACAGCAAAATGCCTTCGCACAGCTGTACGCTGCAGCCACTGAGGTTATCAGACTGCAGCAATCACCGAGGAGGAGCAGGCATTCAGAGCTACATGACTGCAAGGAAACCAGTCAGCATGGTGGGAGTCAAATAGTCTCTCTGCTTTTCATGGCAGAAAAATGTGGTGTAGAGCAGTGTGGAAAGGAAGACACACTCACAGAAAAGAGGAGAAAAGTAGGGCAGGTTAAAGAGAAACTCATATGATTCACAAATCGAAAAGTCTTTGGGCATGATGCCCTTCAGACAGACACCGCTGAGAAGGACCACATGGCCTCTGCAGCAAGCCAAAGGCTGAAGTCATTGCAATTTCAGCTTCATGCACGGAGAGTAATTTACACAAGTCGTTGGTAGGTGGCAACACTACACAGGAATAAAAAAAGCACGGACAGCTTATTAAAGTGATGAATAGCCCGAGTCAGCTCAGAGGCGGACACTACAAACACCAAATACTCAGATTTACAATTATTTCACTTCTTTGAAGAAAGGTGGCTACAGAGTCCTTCCTTATCCTTGAAGGCGCCTGTGTGCGTGTGTACTGGCCACACTCAAAAGCGTGTCTTTCCTTAAAAACACACCTGCCGAACCGCATCTCTGACTCACAGAGCAGAACGAAGAGCTGCTGCTCCGCCAGCACCTGCGGGACGGGCTCCCTTGCGAGCAGCAAAAACCTCCCGAGACACTAGCAACCAGGAGCGAGGGCAGGAGGAGGAGAACAAGAAAAAGAAGGGGGGGGAGGGAAAAAAGGTTTCCGAGGGTTTCTGGGCTGGAGCACAGCCCCTGCCCGTCTTCGCTTACCAACAGCGAGCGTGCCCTCTGGGAGCTCCGCGCCCGGCAGGAGGGGCCGGGCCCGCTCCGCGGGGGCGGAGGCGCAG